AAACAAACTGAGGGTTCTAGAGGGGAGGGGGGTGGGGGGATGGGTTAGCCTGGTGATGGGTATTAAGGAGGGCACGTTCTGCGTGGAGCGCTGGGTGTTATGCACAAACAATGAGTCATGGAACACTACATCAAAAACTAATGATGTAATGTATGGTGATTAACATAACAATAAAAAAATTTAAAAAAAAATTCTGGCTGCCAAACAGGAAGAATATCAAGGACTCTTCATCTGCCAGTGAGAATGTAACTTGGTACAATCTTTGTGGAGGTCAGTTTTGCAATATGTTTAAAAAGCTTTAAAATAGGTATAGAGGAAATTCTAGTTCTGTTGATGGTGGAGTAGCTCCTACTGGGCCAACCTTCCTGCAGAAAATGATGACAAACTCTGAACAGAATGTTTAAAAAAACAACCATTTTGAAGTACTGGAGAACAACCAGAAACAGGCAGAAACTGGAGAGACTTTGACCTTTGAAAGAAGGAACCACACTGAGTGAAATCTATCTTTAGACAGTTTTCTGCTGAGGGCTTTCCTCAGCCAGCCAGGCAGAAAGTTTTTGCTCGAGGTGTCAGAGGACAGAGTTCAGGGCTGCCAGAGTGGCGGGAAATGGAGGGGGTAAATCCTGAAAGGAGTGAAAAGTTTAAAAAGCTGAGCAGAGATTTCAACTGCCGCCCATTTAATGAGAGACAGAGTTTGGAGTTTGAATCATGCCACTTTTTCCAAGAGATTTCATAAACACCTTGGGCATTCCATTGAAACCTTGGGCTGGAGAAGGGGGGGATCCTATCTAGGAGCACAGACTATGTCTCAGGATTAACGACTGTCCCTCAGGGGCACCTGGGTGGCTCAGTCGTTAAGCGTCTGCCTTTGGCTCAGGTCATGATCCCAGCCCCTGCACTGGGCTCCCTGCTCGGTGGGAAGCCTGCTTCTCCCTCTCCCATTCCCCCTGCTTGTGTTTCCTCTCTTGCTGTTTCTCTCTCTATCAAATAAATAAATAAAATCTTAAAAAAAATTAAAAAGTAAAGATTGTCCCTCAGACTAAAGAAAACTCAAAACAGACCCATCCCAAAGAGTATAAAAGCAAACTTTCAAAACATCAAGGTGATATGCCAGGATTAACTGCCTGCTGTTGTCAAAGGAAGACAACAGAACACAGAATCTCTAAACCTATTGTCCTCAGAGACCAGTATACAAATAAAAAATTCCTAGACGTGCAAAGAAACAGAAAAATGTGACCCATCCTCAAGAAAAGAAATCATTCAATAGAAACACTCCCAGAGAACCCATACGTTGGAGTTAGCAGAGGAAAACTTCACAGTGGCTATCATAAATATGTTCGAGGACTTAAAGGAAAACATTGCTGAAATGAGTGAATAGGGGAATCAAGTAGGAGTTTTAGAACTGACAAGACTCAGAAATGAAAAATTTAGCAGATAGGCCTAATATCAAGTTGGAGGCAACAGAAGAAAGGGTCAGTGAACTAGAAGACAGGCCAGTGTAAATTATCCAATCTTAAGAACGCAGGGTGAAAAAGATCTTTTAAAAAATGAAAGAGCTTCAGTGACATTTGGTATAAAATCAAACATTCTAAAATATGTGTAATTGGAATCTCAGAAGGGGAAGAGGGAGAGAATGGGCAGAAAAAAATATCTGAAAGAACACGGCTGAAAATGTCCTAAATTTGATAAAAGAACATTAACATATAAAAGCCCAGGAATCATAAAAATCTCCAAGGAAGATAAACATTCACACACACCACAGAAAAGCACATCATAGTTAAATGATTGAAAAATAAAGAGAAAAACCCAGAGCAGCCAGAGAGGAAAATATCACAGATAATAAGAGACCAATGATATGAATCACACCTGACTTTTTTTCAGAAGCAATGAGAAATTATGAGATAAGATAATGGAATGACAAATGCTGAAATTCTACATCCAGTAAAATACGTCCTTCAAAAAATGAAGGTGACAGACATTGCCAGTTAAAGGAAACTGAGAGCATTCTTCCTCAGGAACTGTGAAAGGAAGTTATTCAGGGTGAAGAGACATGACATCAGACGCACACTTGTGCCTTCAACATGGGAAGAAGATACCTCAAGTGGCAAATATGTGGGCAAAATAGAGACTACTTTTCTTGTTCCGCTATAATTTCCTTAAAAGATAACAGCCAATTGTTTTTGCCTGTAGTTTATATGACATCATGCAGAGTTTATCTCTCACCCCATGGATAGTAGAAATCAACAACAAAATATCTAGAAAATCTTCAAATAAAAAATTAGCCACAATATGTAGGCTTATCAACTGTAAACTTAAAAGTAAAACCCTACAATTATAAATCCTGTGAGAGAAAACATAGAAGGTCTTTGCAATCTTGGGGTAGGCAAAGATTTCGTAGGACATGAAAAGCCCTACTCATAACATTTTAAAAATGATAAATTGTCTTCATAAAATTCTTCTCTTTGAAGGAAAGGAAATGAAAATGACGATGAGACAAGCCGAAGACTGGCAGAAAACATTCACAACTTATTTATCTGGCACAGGACTTGTATCCAGAATATGTAAAGAATTCCTATATATTCATAATAAAAGACCTATAGTCCAATATTAAAAATGGGCAAAGGACAAGAATGGACACTTTACAAATGGCCAATAAGCACATACAAAGGTGCTCAACATAATTAGTAATGAGAGACATGCAAATTAAAACCACAATGAGATACCATTTCTCATGCACTAGAATGCTTAAAATTTTTATCAGGACTGACCACACCAAATGTTGGCAGAGACATGAAGCAATTGCACCTCTCATACTTTGCTGGTGGGACCCCACCATCACCTAGAAAAAGTATTTGGCAGCTACTTATAAATTCAATATTCACTTACAGCATGACCTGGCCATATTTCTCTTAGGTAGTTTTCCAAGAGAAAAAACATTTGTCCACAAAACGACTTGTGCATGTTCTTTCCAGCTTTTTTTTTTTTTTTAAAGATTTTATTTATTTATTTGTCAGAGAGAGAGAGAGAGAAAGAGCACAAGCAGGAGGAGTGGCAGGCAGAGGGAGAAGCAGGCTCCCCGCTGAGCAGGGAGCCCGACGCGGGACTCGATCCCAGGATCCTGGGATCATGACCTCAGCCGAAGGCAGCTGCTTAACCAACTGAGCCACCCAGGCGTCCCTGTTCTTTCCAGCTTTATTCATAATACTCCAAAATTGGAAATAACCCCAATGGCTGTCAACAGGTGAACGGATGCACAAAGTATGGTATAACCGTCCGGGTGGTTACTTCTCAGCCAATTGTTGGATAGACACGAGTCACAGCAGACCTTAGTGCGGGGACCTTGGTGAGGATGGGCTGAGAGTAACCCCAGACACAGACACCAGGGCTAGGGGAACATGCTGAGGCCCAAGATGGATGCCTGAAGACCAGGAGGGAGGAATTCTGCTTCCTTGTGAGGCTAGACTCTCCTTTCTGAAGGCCATGGGGCACACAGGTCCACTTCTGGCATCTGGCCTGCATCTTGGAAAAGGAAGAGGGGAAGAGAAACCTGGGACAGCATCAGACACTTAGGCCGCATGGAGTCTAAGTTTTAAAACAGTAGAAATTGAGAAATCTTTGGTGGGTAGAAGGAAATATCTTGTTGCTACCAATAGGCCTTTAGTTTAAGATGAGCTTAGATATTTTTTAGAAAGGATGAAAGTTATACGTTTTCCCACTTCTGACACGCAGTTGAGCTATTTGTGTATCTCGGGAGGATCTAAAAACTGTGGCCTGAGGCCCCAAGGACTCCAAGTCTCGATTTCGGGGTTCGTTTGCACTAAGGTGTACTCCTGGTCATAGAACATGCTAGAATAGGCTTCACTGAGCTGTGTTTGCTTAACATAAACTGTTGTCCCTTTGAAATTCAAATGAACTCCAGTGCAGTTTCTCTTCTAGAGAAAGATTATTTTCCACACTGACTCAGTACCAACTCTGAGAAACAGGTCTGCATTTTGTCAAATATTAAAATTGATTGTTGAAAATAAAATCTTAGAGTTCTCATGAAATCCTAAAGGTGCTTAAGCGTTCACCTTCCACTTCAGAGTCCAAAGTCCTGGAAAAGCCCTTGCTTCTGCTCCAGGCAGGAAGGGTGGGGTGATCTTTCCCTGGATCCTCCATACCTGCTACCCCAAGCATAAACCCGTGAATGAGAGGGGCATCTCAGTGGCCTCAGGGGACTGGAATTCTTTC